TTTTTATCCTCTTCCTTCAGGTCTTCACATATTAGAACAAAGGGCGAAGTTTGTCCTTTTGGCGATGCTCATGCTTCAACTTTTTCGTTCTTTTCAGCCTTTTTGTTTCTTTTTGCGCCTAAGTGTCCATGCTTCCACTAAAACATCAAATACCTGAAACTTAAAAGCTTTCATCAGATATTGAGACAAAATAAGAATTCGAGGACACTATTTCTATCAAAATAAAGCCCTAAATGAGTCCAATTTGTGGACTCATCAACACCCCCAACATAAACTTTTGCTTGTCCTCAAGCAAACTCAAGTTCAGCCATTCAAAAAGGGTGTCTCAAATAGTGCTACACAAGTCTCAATGATGAACCTACACAACAAGATTCAAATTACTTATGCAAAGATCAATTGTGCACTCAAAGATGCAAGTTGTGACACACGATTAGCAGAGATTCTCATGCTCGCAATACCTGCTACTTGTGCGAGTTCAAGCTCGAAAAATAGTAACTAAATGCCCTCACATAAAAAATGATTCCATATTCACACACAGAAGTTAATCAATTCAAGATCGGGAATCAGATGCAACGCTTACACTCAAAAAGAGAAACACAATGCATGCTTTCACCCATAGGTTTGCCCTTATTTTCCAATCGACTTTTGATTCGGCTTACTCAAGATCAAAAAGGTATTTCTAAGGCTTGTAATGGGGATGAGTGCAAAGGTATGGTCATTTAGGCTCAATGGCTCCTTCCTCGTGGGATGTGGTATTCTCAAGGCATTCCCTTTCTCCTCTTTTATCAATTCTTTTTCTAATGCTTCTAAGTCACCTATTTATTCACCTTTATGGCTTTCTTGGAAACCCGATTTCCTTCGTACCTTATTCCACAGTGTTTTTTTTTAAAAGAAATTGAAGGGGTTTCCACTTATGCAATCCTATGGGTTAGGGGGGTCTTTTTCTTGCACTTCTTGACTTCTCATTTTCCTTTTTGCCACATCCCCAACTTAGGATTTCATCCTATGTTAGCTATTCACTAAATCACAAATGAAGAGGATTGTAGGTAGTGGGTCAAATAAGGTCTAGGGTTCATCAAGGTTCTTCCAAAGAAAGGTAATGCTCAAAGGGTGTTCAAAAGAGTTTCACACACTCACGGGTAGGCCACAAAAGAAGTATATGTCAAATTTGGTTCACACTCTTTAAAGTTGCCTAAGATCATTTCAAGAGGACACCTTTCTCAATCAATCAGACTAAAAGGGAAAATTCTAGGTTTATTAATGCATGGTTCAAAACAAGATAATCACATAAGGCATCGACACTTAAGTCAAACAAGACTACACACTTTCGCTAGTGTGCAACGGTCATTACAAGAGAATCAATTCAATAAATGGCTAATAACAACGAGATGCAACGAGGTCACATATTGTCTATGCAATTTCATTGGGCCTCGTCATAGCCATACATTCATGTTCGTTCAATTGAGAGCACTATTCAAGTCATTGGTATTGATCGAAACCGAGACTTAAATTCTTGCAAAAGAACAACCATATTCAACTCATGAGGGGTGGCAAAAATGTGTGAAAAATTCAAAAAAAATCGGAAGGGTCAAAATCATTTTGCAATTAAAAGTAAAAGGAGCCACGAGCTGAAACATCTACAGAAAAGTAGTTATTAACACAACTATAAATAGAACAACCCAAATATAGACAAAACATGAGTCACAAATAACACACAAAATGTGAGCCTCAACCCACCACAAATAAAATGCAATTTGTCCTCAAATGCAGGTAATGAGAATTTATGAGGCAAGATAAAGAAAGATAGAGAGGGAGGTAAAGAGGTGATTCTGGCTAATGGGTCGCTTCATCTGTTTAGGCATCATTACCCGCAGTGACCACCAGAGGGACCAGCTCCACTAGATCTAGCAACAGAAAACTGTGCCAAGAAAGCTTGCACAGCAGCATCTATCATAATTTCTTCCGTCTCAGTCAAAGCATCATCTGGCATCTCCACTATTCCAAAGATCATGGGCACATCGGTGGCCTTTAGTTTTTCTACGTCTTTTCGTAGTTCAGCAATGCCAGCTTTTAAAGTCGTCACCTTCTATGTGGCCTCTTGGTTGTGCTCACACACCGCTATTCTGGCTACTAAGGCGGCAATGATAGTGCTCAACGGTGTTATAGCATTAGTTACGACAATCTGGATCATGCTTGGAATAGAGGTCTTTAGTCTAGCAGCTCGACGATCAGCAGAAAGAGTCAACTATCCCATCCGGAGTAGGGACGCTCGGGTAAGAAGAAGCTGGGAACTGAAGGCCCAAGGGTCGGAGTAGGTAGAGATGTTTTTGCAACCGATGATTCTTTGTTGGCTAACTTCACCAATTCTGCCTTCTTCCTTTCTACTTGATCTTTAAGGTACTCATTTTCGATATTCCAGTTATCACTAGAGGTTGTGGGTATCACTTCCACATCACTCTTGGTATCTCGAGGTACTTGGGCTCGTTTGCATAATTCTGTGATCAAGACTGGGAATGGAAGTGAGGTTTGGCTCTGCCTTGCATGCATGAGTATCTCTGAAGCGATGATTGTTCCCAAATTTATCTGAGTCCCCTCTGTAACGCAACCCAGGCAAGCTTCCTGGGTGAGGCGAAGGATTGACTCATTCTTGGATGGCATAACTTCGCTTTTGATAAAACTGAACCAGAACCTTACTGATATGTTTAATTCTTTCTTTTCAATCGAAACTCTTTCCCCTAACCACTTGAGAATCTCATCTGCAATTAATTGGGCTAACCACTTTTTCATCTCATACAGTTGCTTTGTTCTAATCAAGTACTGGCAGTGATCCCCAATGTTTGTGGACATGCCCAAGATTGCATTGATTTACTTACTATCACACTTCACCTCTTTATCTCAGACAACCACATAGTCGACTTCTTTGAAGGCTTCTGCTAGTTGCTTTTGTTGTGGTATTAGTGCACTGTATGCATTGTAGAACTCTCTTACCCAATTTGGAATATAAGGGCCACGGGGTTTGGTGAATATTTGGAACTCGTGGTATCTCAGACATTCCACGATCTTTGGGTCCCTGTCTATAACTCCATCTATGGACAGACATTTTTCCTCAAAAAAAATATTGGCCTCGCAGTCTTTACTTTATTCATAGATTTAGGCGGAGGACCTTGCACTGGAGGTGCTAATACCATTGTCTTCTTTGGAACTAGAGGGTGGTGGTGGCAGGCTGGTAAGTCCTGGCCCGAGATGAATTTCTCAGCTTCTTAATTTACCGCTCGACCATCTGCGCTATTAGCATATCTTCCTCGTTATAACCCACATCTTTGCTTTTAGACTGGTTGGAGTAATTCCTATAAAGGCCATTACTATTGGTGCTTGCATCTGACAATTTAAGGATCTTGTATTTGCCCTTCCCTTTTTCACCATTTGTGGAAAGTTTAGCAACTTTTCTTTTGAACATATTAGTATCCTTTTGATTGTAATGTCTTTTGTTTACTTTGAGGTGGCTTGCTTCTTTCTGAAAGTTTAGATCTAGCCATTTCTACAAAGATTTCGGAAGAAGTTAAAACAAGTAAGCCAAGCTCAGAGAGATGCAATTACAGACAGACTTGCCAAACACATCGGCGAGTCACCAAGCTGCTTTTGGCGACCAAGACTTTATCCGCGAAGGATGCAGTTTAAAAGGGTTAGGGGATGCAGACAAAGGGAGATCAAGGAAACCTTTTTGCAAGTCGTCTGCCTTTTCTGATTAGGGCTTTTTGGCTGAGAGTTACAGAACACTAACTACAAGTAGCAAAAAATTAAAAAGTGAGATGGAGTCCTTTGGGCCAACTACCAAGTGATTCAGCGAGCTGGTCTCAGCACGCTGAAAGGCCTGAATTCATCAAAGAGGCAAAACACATGACCTAGGATAAAATTACCTGGAATGGGATTATAAATATCATAATTAAATGCAGGGTTTGGAGAACCAACCTTTTGGGCAGATTAGGTCAAGACTGTGATGCTGAGCGGCAGGTTATTATAGATCTGAGCACTACTAAAGCAGCTAAAATACTTACGAGGTACAAAAATTTGAAAATACAAAGTAGGTGTGATTTTGCGAATATTAAGAGTGAGAGTATATGAGAAAGGTTGAAAGTTCAGACCCGTGATTTATAAAATCCATTCAAATCTATTCCATTTGGCACATTAGTTGGATTTGCTTCACTACTTGGTGATCTGCTGAATGTTCATCTATCCCGCCGAGTTTTACAGGACTTCAATCAAAGTGAGGATCCAAACGCGGTTTTAGTAGCAATTGCCGGTTGGACTTGCGTACTTCATCCTGTACTTTTTCACAAATTTTTCATGCCCAATTCTACAAAATCAAAACACCTTTATTAAAAAAAAAAAATACCAAAATTAAAGTAGTTAAGGTCTTTGGGTTGCCTCCCAAACATCGCCTTTGTTAACGTCGTGGCACGACGTGGGTTAGCATCTAAATTCCACTTTTGGGATTATCCAAAACATCGTTTAGAAATCCCTCGCCTTGTGTTTGATGGACGTGAGGCATTATATGACCCAAGAGAGTTTCAATTAGTTGGATAGATCTAGAGTGAGTATCACTCATCTGGTGTAGCACTTCTACATTTTCCTTAATCTTCTCTAGCACTCTATCTTTCTCATTTAACTTTTGAAAAATGGTTAATAACATATATTTGAAATGTTTACTTTCAACCCCTATAGATCTTCCCTAATAAATAAGTGATCCGCATTTGCGCTTTTCTTTGAACATCACCTCCACTTCCTCGACCTTTTGGGTCAAGTTATCCATCTGACCCAGCAAAATGATCAATTCTTGGTCTTTCTTAGTATCCTTATTGGTTTTAGCCATAAGGTCAAGGAATATGGTTGCGATCTCATAAAAATATTTTTCACGACCACCTGGCATGAGTCGGTCGATTATCCCTCTGTTTCCGGGATTCACACTCCTATAGAAGCATTCCACTAGAACTAAATCGACGATTTCATGAGTTGGGCATGGTATCAATAATGTTTTAAACCTCACCCACGACTCATGCAAAGGTTCTCCTTCTAGATGCTTGAAGTTCAAGATGTGATCCCTGAATGTCATCACTTCTTCTGGGAGGTGCTCCGTTAGTCTACCATCCCCATCATGTATACTCGTTATCCTATCTCAACACACAAACAGCTAGACAAAACTAAGAATTAGGTAAGTAGATTACAAATAAGAAGAACAAAAACTCTACTAATCTAAAAATTCTAAAATTACACCACTCCTCGGTAGTGGCACCATTTTGATGCTTATCATGACCAACGACACTAACCTCCGGTATGATTGTCTACGATCGTCGATAGTATACTAACCCAACTAAAGGTTGGGGTCGTGTCCCAAAGGATTGGTTTTGAGAATTGATAAAAAAAAATAACATTAAGCTCTAACTAGTCGTAGCTAAAGACATTAATGAACAAAAACATGGTAAATTAAAGGGGGGTGACACGAAAGTGTGAAATATCAATTTGGGGGTTTTGTCACAAGTAGTAAAAATAGAAAAAATTAACAAGAAAATCAAGTATGGGGAAATGTTCTTGGAGTGTCACCGCAATACAAGTGGAGATAAGTAGTTGTGTACAAGCTTTTGAAAGGAAATTTGGAAGATCATAGTGACTTGGATAAGCTTTAGATGGAAATAAGTTCCCTCTCGGGCAACTTACCCCATTTCAAATGGTTGCTCTTGGACACCCATGTACCGCATGAAGACCAGGCTATGCCTTACTGCACTCACTCTCTCGAGCTGAGTGTTAGGATATGGACTAGGGCTCACCCTCTCTGGCTGAACCTCATGGCGATCCACACCTTAGGCCATTAGTCTAATGGTCTTGGTTTCGCAACCTCCCTCTCGGCATGCCTAAAACATATGGCTGGCTTTCTATTTGCAACTACAAACCCTTTAGATTAAACCACAACCACTAGGTAAAATCACCATTAAAGTACATCTAACCTATCACCGAGCAAGACCCAATAATAATATCAACACATATTTGCTAAATCACACCCCAAGAATGGGGTTTTTAGCCACACATCAAGAAATAACAAAAACACCTAAAATGATAGTAAAATCAAATGGGTATAAGAAATTAAACCTTGATTTAAGCAAAAGAACAAGAATGGAGAAGACCCACTCCAACTTGGGGAAGATAAAATCCTTTTCTCTTCAAGTCTCCCCAAAAACCCTCTCCAAACTTGAGAGAAAAATATCCAAAAAGTACTATTCTATTATGGAAATTAAAATAAAAGTTCGACTCCCTAAAATTAATAATAAGTTGGTATTTATAGGTTTACAAAATAGCGCTGGTGGATCTTATGGCGAAGTTAGTCGATGTCGTCGAATGACTCGGTGACTGCCTTTCTTTGTTTCATCGCTGTTTCATGCTTGCCTTCAGCATCTTCACATTCTGGACCATTGGGTGGTATAGTACTGCATCGCGAAACTATTCAGTGAAGCACCGACTGCTCCTTTCATCGCCTTTTTATCATCTTCCTCAGGGCTTCGCATCACTAAAACTTCATTTACCTGAAACTTAAAAGTCTTCATCAGATATTGAGACAAAATAAGCATTCGAGAACACTATTTCTATCAAAATAAAGCCCTAAATGAGTCCAGTTTGTGGACTCATCAAGGACGCCCATGCTGATCACTTCCCACTTCCAAGTAGGAATGTCGATCTCTTGAGTCATACCACCTGGTTTCTGATGTTTTACCTTGACTTGCTCACAAATGGGGCACTTAGCCATAAAATTTGCTATATTCGTTTTTATACCATTCCATTGAAAGACTTCCCGCAGATCACGGTACATCTTAGTGGTGCCTGGATGAATAGAATACCTGGAATTATGGGCTTCTGCGAGAATATGCTGTCTCAACTCACCTACCTTTGGAACACATAATCGACCCTGATAGCGAAGCACACCATCTCCCCCTTGGGAGAAAACCTCAACTATCTGCCAATGGACTGCACCTTTTAGTTGAAGCAATATCAGATGACTGTCTTGCTTTTCCTTAACCCCCACTACCAATGAAGATTCTGACTTATTCCGAATTGATACACCACCATCTTATATGCTCATAAGGCGAATTCTCAAGCAAGCAAGCTTGTGAACCTCTTTTTATAGTTCCTTTCTTTCTTCCTCAACATGGGCTACACTACTCATAGATAGTCTACTAAAAACATCTACTACTACATTGGCCTTAGTAAGATGGTAATGCAAACTCATATCATAATCCTTCAGGAACTCAAGCCAAATCCTTTGGTGAAGATTCATCTCTTTCTGGGTGAACACATACCGAAGGCTCGTATGGTCTGTGAACAAATCTACGTGAACAACATACTAGTAATGCCTCCAAATCTTAAGTGCAAACACCACTGCTGCAAGCTCGAGGTTATGAGTTGGATAGTTCCTCTCATGCACCTTAAGTTGTCTAGAAGCATAAGCTATAACCTTACCTCGTTCCATCAACACACAACCTAGGCTGACTCTAGATGTATCACAATAGATAATATAACTGTCTGAACCCTCTGAAAGAGTCCAAACAGGAGTTTAGTCAACCTAGTTTTCAGTTCTGCAAAGCTTTTCTCACAATCATCTGACCACTAAAACTTAACCTATTTCTGAGTTAATATAGTCAATGGAGAGGCTATGGATGAAAATCCTTCGAAGAACCTTCTATAATAACCAGCCAAACCTAAGAAACTTTTGATATTTGTAGGAGAGGTAGGTATGGGCCATTGTTTCACTGCTTTTATTTTCTGAGAATCCACTTAGATTCCTTCGCTAGACACAATATGACCAAGGAAAGCAACAGATTGCAACCAAAACTCACAGTTGCTAAACTTACCAAATAACTGGTGATATTTGAGAGTTTGCAGGACAACCCTCAAATGACTCGCATGTTTTTATTCATTCCTAGAGTAAATGAGGATATCATCAATAAACATGATAAAGAACAAGTCCAAGTACTACTTGAACACCCTGTTCATCAAATCCATGAAAGTTGTAGGAGCATTGGTTAGTCCAAATGACATAACTACATATTAATAATGACCATACCGAGTTCTGAAGCCTGTCTTTGGAATGTCAATATCTTGACTCTGAGCTAATGATAACCGAATTTGAGGTCTATCTTTGAGAAATGACTAGCACCCTGAAGTTGGTCGAATAAGTCATCAATCTAGCGGGTGGGATACTTATTCTTGATTGTGACTTTGTTCAACCGCCGATAGTCAATGCACATCCTGAGAGAACCATCTTTCTTTTTCACAAACAACACTGGTGCACCCCATGGCGAAATACTAGGTCTGATGAAGCCCTTATCTAAAAGGTCTTTTAACTGCTCTTTCAATTCTTTAAACTCAAATGGAGCCATCATGTAAGAGGAGTAGAGATAGACTGGGTATCAGGAAGGAGATCAATTCCAAAGTCGATTTTCCTTTGGGAGGAACTCCGAGAAGATCTTTGGGAAACTCTTCTAGGAACTTATTAACTACTGGAACGACTCAAGAGTTGGAGTTTCGGTGCTTGAATCCTTCACACGAACTAGATGATAGAGACAACCCTTAGAGATCATTTTTCTGGCCTTAAGGTAGAAATGAATCGACCCATAGGCGCTAACCTACTACCCTTCCATTCTAATATTAGTTGATCTGGAAACTGAAAACAAACAATCCTAGTTCTAAAATCGACTGAGGCATAATAGGAATATAAACAATGCATGCCTAGAATGACATCGAAGTCTACCATTTCTTATCTACAAGATCTACTGAGGTGACTTTTTTGGAGACTGTGACAGGGCAATTTATGTATACCAGTCTAGCTATAACTGGGTCACCACTAGAGTAGAGACTGAGAAGGGTTCCGAGAGAGTTTCTGGACTAACATCAAACTTGATGTTGTATAAGGAGTTACAAAGGAAAGAGTAGCCCCTAGATCAAACAAAGCATAAACATCGAGATTAAAGACTCATAACATAGCAGAGACCACATCAGGAGAATCCTCCTCATCCTGGCGAGCCTGAAGAGCATATAGCCTATTTTGGCGCTATCCACCACCTGTACCAGATAAGTTACCCTGTTTAGTCGGGAGGCCTACTGGCGCTACTGAAGTTGTGGATTGAGCTCTACTATTAACACCTCTTTGACCCTGTTTTGAAGGACAATCTCGTAACCTATGACCAGACTGACCACACCCAAAGCATCCTTCTTTCCTGCAAGACATTCGACCCGATGGTTTTTACCACACTTAGGACAAGTTGGGTAGGTTCTGGTGCTTGAAGCACTCCTGAGACTTAGAGCCTGATACCCTACCTTTCTGATCATATCTGAACTTGGAGGATGAAACACTAGCTGATCAAGTTGCTGGAGCTGAAGATTTTTGCTGAAACTACGAGTGATTTCCACCACCTAATTTCTGTTTAAATACTCATAGCTTCATATTCTAACCTTTTATTCTCCTTAGCCTATTCCCTAAGCTCATCTCCATCAACCTGCTGAGCATGAGTCATGAGCCTAGAGATATTCATATTTTCCAGCAACATAGCATTCCTACATTGTGTTTTCACTAAGTGTGACACTCCATATAGAAACTTGTTCATTTAAGCCCTGGAATCAACAACCATGTGAGGAGCATACATGGAGAGTTGGGTGAACTTGAGTCCATACTCTTGGATTGTCATGTTACCTTCCTCAAGTTCAAGAACTCCTGAGCTTTTGCCTCCCTTAACTCTCTTGGGAAGAACCTGTCGAGAAAGGTCTCACTAAAGCATTCTCAAGTGATGGGAGTTGCATCTGTAACCCCGTTCTCTTTCCACTGAGTATACCAGATATGAGCCACATCCTTAAGCTGGTAAAATGCCAACTCAACCCGATCATTCCTAGTTACCTGCATCACTCCAAAGCCCTTTTTGACCTCATCTATGAAGGTTTAGGGATCCTTACAAATCTGCGATCCTAAGAACTCAGGCGGATTCATCCTAACAAAATCTCGCACTCTAGCTGCAACTGACAAAACATTAGTATTTGCCGAACTGGACCATTCTGATTATTTTGGTTGGT